GGCTCCGATGCATACCGGTGGGGTCAGCGATCCAGAACCTGCACTTCTTAACACAATCAGAACCGCTTTCGGCTTCAAAGAGTCAGGGCAATTATTGGCAACAGACGGACAATCACAGTTGTTTTCTATCTCTCCAGTCCTTAGAGCAAAGCTTCCTCTGATTCCTTGACTCCCTCCATCCAACCTACTCCCAAACCGCATCCTTGTTTCTCCTTCCTGTTCTTCTATCATCCCCTCCCAATTTACTATAATTGCTCCATCAACACTGAGAAGCTGTCCTCTTTCTATGATTACCCTCGCAGTTTCGTTGTTTGTAGGTGGCTTATACGTCCCCTCCAATCTGAACGCTTTTGCTTCCCCCGCAGAGCCAAACGCCCACACAGTCATACTTGGTCCGGAGTCAACTGCCAAGTCAACCAGTGCAGGAATATATGCCACATGGCATCCGATGATTTCGATTGGCCTTGCAGGTTCTGCCCGCGGAGCAAGTTCACGGAATGTGGCTGTGTGCATCAGTTTTTCCTCATTCGTTCCCTGATTAACGATTTCCGTTGGGATCGTGTAGAACACTAGCCAGTCTTGGTAACCAACAGCAACTCGGATACCATAGCGTAGATCTTTACCGGCTGCGTATACCCTGGGGCGTGGAGGAAATTTCGTATCCACTGAATGCTGTAGTGTCTGATCTGCAATGGTAGTACTGTTTTCGTTGTATAAATTATCCTCAATGCTGACCCAGCAGTCTTTTGATACGCTTCTCAATCCAGAACTAGAACTGGAAACCTTTGGTGAGATTTGTAAGACCTTGCCCGAAAGCGAAGCGACGGACGGTGGGGGATCCCTCGGTGGAACTAGTTTGATTTTTCTGAGCAGCTTTGTAGGCCCGCCTAACTACATGCCACTATCGTAAGCTCGCACTTGGCAAGTTGAGGTGTTTACTTACAGGAGCATCTCCTCCGACATACACAAATCCATCAATAGGGTCAGTGAAGATCACATGTATACCATCGCCAACGGGAACTGCCATATAGTGATCATTCTGGGCAGCCCCTAGCAAGCTGAATTCCCAAGCTCGCCAGGGTCCAAAACTCCCGGTTTTGTACCCGAATCTTCTGCCCAACGGAGATGGCTCTTCGGGATGTACTGCGCTGGATATCAATTTTAGCTTCCTCTCTGAATCCATACCCATCCGCTGTGGTAGGAAATACAGAAAGTCCGATGGTGCCGAAAGCGGAAACCAGCGACGCAGATCCTGCCCCGTGAGAGCGTCAACCCAGTGCAACTCGATACCTTCTTGGCAACCAAAGCCTACGCATGCCCGTTGTGGGCAAATGGAAATGGAGCGTGGAGGGTCGCTGTCCGAGCAGATATTCTTGTATGTGCTTTCCCGTCGCGGAGAAACTACAGCCCAATTTCGGGACCCAATATCTGCAACTATACCCATGCGCCCGTCCACAAGCACTGCCACGGCGTGTCGCCCAGCTGATGTGTCCATTGACACGGCAAGCACCTGGTGGGGACAAATCACGCTCGCAATGTAATCCATCGAAGCACTCTTGAGTTGATATATGTAAATGATGCAGCCGTCGGACAAAAGGATATATGACCCACAAACTGATGCCGTGAAATGCACAGATGGCGATGAGCTGAGGGAAGACAGCTCGGAAAAATCAAATGTATCACTGCAGCTAAGGCCGCAGGTCCCATCTTGAACTGCTCCAAGGAGACATTCTCTAGCAAGCCGCATGGACAGATAGGACGCGGAAGTCGACGTAATGATGGTTGGATCAGAAAAACCCAATGCGAGTAAGTGATTTCGCAGGAGAGTCGTATTAAAAGAAGATTGGTACCTAAGGGCATCTCTAGATGAGCGACCTCATTCCAAGCTCTCGCGGGACGACTGAAGTTCTCACCATCCTTTGCAAGCTCTTCTGGCATTATGAAAACTCACGGGATCCATAAAGGCAAATATATGCTGCAGGAGCTCTACCGGGAGCTCATACAAGGCCGGCAACGTCACAGAGCGTAGTTTCTCTGCATGTCCATACCAGGCACGGCATACTAGGCGGAAGGAAAGAAAGGACACCTAGTCCAGTCTCAGCAAAATGCATTCATACGCTCCTTCAGGCAAGCCGGTCCACTTGCTTGGTCGAATTCCAACACCACTTTCAAGTCCAGCTCGTTTCGAAGGGTTACTTGCAAGGCGTTCAGGATACGAGGCCCCCTCGCGGGCTGACAAGGAGTACTGGCTAAGCGTTTCTGTGGGAGTATTCCGACCCTCCACTGCAGCTGCAGCCCGATTCCCGAAGTAATGCCTCTGCTCTCTTTTGCTCTTGCTGTTGTCCAACAGGACCTGCTCTTCACTGCCCAGTTCCACTGGAGCGGAAGTGCCGCAGCTCGATTTTCGAGCGTGATCTGAAGGGAGATTCGGCATCTTGCCAGGCTTCCGCTGGGCGACCTGTCGTGAGAGTGTTCGGCAGAGGGAGCGCGGGGAGGTTATTGAGACGAAAGGCAACTAGCGTGCACAAGGCCAAGCACAATGCTCCGTGCCAAGCTCCACGCCACACGTGTACGGGCTTCTCTTCAGGTGCGGACACCTTCTTCGCTAGCGGTTCCCTTCTCTGGCGTGTCGAATCGCCTGTCACGGGGCTGTGGTAAAGTGCATTACCCTCAACTCCTGACACCACAAAGATGATTTACGCTGGTACTATTAGTTATGATGTTAGCAATGACACTCTGGTAATAGCATCTATCTGTCAACGAGTAGTGATATCGCCTGTTCAAATCTGCCTAGCAAAGCCATCACAGGCCACGACCGCCAGTGCCGCCTCACCACCATTTCAACTGCTGTTAATGTTTACAATGAACTCCTCTCCCTGCAGCCGTGACCGATGCGGGACAGCACCGGCGCAGAGATCTCCAACGCCCCCTCCCCATCATCCAACTGCTCTGCACCTGACTGAGACGCTCTCCTTGACTTCAACGGCGACCCACCCCCATTCCACCACTCCTTTGCACCCTTCCACCACGCACCTGCCTTTCCCCCTTCTTTTATCCCTCCCTTACCAGCTTGCTCGGCCCCCAACCCTGGGTCCAGTCCCAGCCCCGCTCTCAGCTCCCTCCTTCTCTCCTCCCTCCACCTCCCCAGCCTTGCCTCCAAATCTTCATGTGTCTCCTCCCGACCTCCCTCGCTCCAGCCACCATCACTACCACCCTTATCACCTTGCTGGGAAGCGAGCGGATTACTTCCCAACGATCTCCTTCTCGCCGGTCCGGGCTGCAAGTCCTGAAGCTCTATAACTTCATTCCTCTCATTCCCGTCACTTGTCCATCCTACATTCGTGTCAACCCTCGATGACCGCCCACCCCTCGCTCCTGGAATATGCGGTTCATAACTCGCATCCCTTCTCTCCTCCATTCCACCTCCTTCTCTTTCACGCTCCTTCCCGAGCGCCATTTTCGCATCTCTGCCCACATCCTCATCCCAAAGCTCCTCCACTACAAGTCCATGAGTCCACGGCCCCACTACCCTCTCTCTTCCGTTCCTCCCTCCTTTCGCTACTGTTCTCCATCCCCCCTTCCCTTCCTTCTCGTGCGGATCCCATATGACCCATTCTATGACCGCTCTCTCTCTAAACCCCCACACCCCAATCGCACAACTCATCCCCGCCAACACCGGTACCAGTACCATCGTCAGAATCCCACTTGCCGAGCATGCCCCATTAATCAAGTACCTACTCTCCAAGTCGTAACATGCAAGCAGCAATATAACCAATACTCCTCCTGCTATTACTCCAACAAAACATAGAATCAGAGTTAGCACAGTAGGATAGCGGTTATAGTACCGATAGCCAATACGTCTATGATGGGTGACACGGCCAGCGCCGGCATATAGCGGGATTTCGCTCACATGGCTCAGAATCGAGCTAATGTAGGGATAGAACGTCGTCTTGTGCGTGTATCCGGTCACTGAGTCAATGTCTACTGCACCATGCTGTCCTTCTTCCCCCTCACCTTGGCCGTCGCCCTGGTCCATATCCTCGCCACCTAGTGCAGTCGTGCTACCCATAGCCTCCATACCCGCACCTCCCCTTGGCTGCTCATCGTCTTCGGCCCATACATAGCTCTCAGATGGCACCCCTGTGCCATACGCACTCGAGCTTCCTTGATGCGAATAGGCTCGATACAACCCTGAGACCGCCGCTGGCTGAGGATGGTTCGACCGCAGCCCATGAAGAATGTTGTGTTGGTAACTTTGGTGCCACTGATGTGAGGGCCCAGGGTCAAGGGAGGACAAAGGTGGATCGATGACGGTAATGGCGTCGGGGTCGTCGAAGTCGGGAGCGATGTATGGGCTGTAGAACTGGTGACCAACAGAATGGCCGTGACGATGATGAGTATCCATTAACACTGGACGATGCCTTTCTGGAGATAGTTTTATCAGTGCCAGTATCCGGTGAAATTGATGTTATGTTGTGCCGTGAGAATCAAGGGATGAATGGACTGCTCGAGGAGGAAAGGAGAGAATCGTTCTGTTTTGAGTTTCGCCGCCCAGAGGGTTGCAAGACTAGGGAGAAGACTTAGGCTCGGCGTTTCTGGAATGTAACATTGAATAATGGGTGTGCCTCTGCCCTGCCGGTCGCTTGCATAGAACAGTACCTAAGGTGACGTGAAACACAAATCTAAGCTCGATGCGAGACGGGAAGATGCCTCGTGTCTCGTGACCTAAAGCCACACACGATACGTTCTCAGATGATGCGTGCATTCCAAACCTCATACATCCTTCTCCAGCTCGCATGACTGGCCTTTCAGGTCACACGAGCACAAGTGTTAACCACTCAAATAGACGCAAGTATCCTTCAATTTCCCCTGTCCGACTTCATGGAATACTGCCCTGCATCTTCGTCCGACAGATCCTCATGCGCCATAGAAACAAAAACGAAGGGAGAAAAGCTCGGTAAAAAAAATAGAGATAACACTCCCCACATTTGAAACTCGTATTCCGCACCGGGGAGTCGAACCCCGGTCTCCGAGGTGAAAGCTCGGTATGCTAGCCGTTACACCAGTGCGGATGACATGTGACTGACAATAAGTCGTAGTACATAAGAGTAGTCATGTTTGATGGCGGATAGCCCTCCAATGTACTTCCCTTGTAACCGGCCCCAACGGGGAAGTAGCGAATTGATTCAAGCCGTGTCTTTTCTCCAAGTCTTTCTACTTAATCCCCCTCTCATTCTTTGCAGATTCTCACAAGAGCATAGAATCAATCGTACTTGCAGACTGGGGAACCAACGTTTCAACAGAATTGGTTTGAAGATATATCGGCCATTATAATGTCTCTTCACCGACATGTTGGGAGAGTAAGGGGGGAGAGCGGGGAGAACGGATACGAAGGGGGGGGGGGGGGGGGAGGTTTCCTTATTTGAATGTACCTAACTTTTAGCTATAACATCGCCATAGCCCTTTGGGCGGTATGCGATTAATGATATTAAAAAAAAAAAAAAATGTCTCTTCACCACTCCGCCAGGCTTTTCGAAGGTGACGTTTTTCAGTTGCTTTTTCTACATCGCTGTAAATTTTTTAAGCTGGGCGTGGAGTTTGAAAAAGAAATACACTCTGCTGATTCAAGATACCCACATCCAGCTTGACAACTAGCTGCGAAGCGTTTCTCAGGAATTTTCGACTTAACTATTAGCACCTGGTATTCCGGCGTAGGCAGAGCAGGATTGAATATACAGCTCAGTATCTTAGGGATTCCAATTGAGATTTCAACAGCACATTGTACTGAGAACCCCCTCGCATAATGCACCCACCAGCCACACAAACACTCTCAAACTCAACCGCCTGGTCCGAAGCTAAGCGACAAGGACAAAGCATTTAGCAATAAGGTGTCCCCGCTCGACCCATTTGTTTTTACGGTCAAGGGATGCCATTTCAGTACAAAAGTTAACTTACCATTTCAAGAAATATGCAATTACACCACTACGTTTATGCACAGGGAAGTGTTTATTATACTCGGACTTTAGACACACATTCAAGAAGGAAGCAGGTACGTAAACATGGCAATGTTAGCCTAATTCCTATTCGTTTCCTTTCGCTGCTCCTTTTCCTTTTTTTTTTCGCACGCATCTAGCTAGATTGGGTTCCACTCCCTGACATTTGAGACAGGCAGCTGCAGCAGCCCTGTGGGATCTTCCTAGGAGGTTTCTGCACGCCCATACATGGTCCCTCCTCAAGGTATGATGCAACCAGGTTAATGTTAACAGTAACTCATTTGGCCATGGAAGCAAAAATTAGTAGTCCACCAGCGTACTCAATCCCCAAATCATACCACACCCGACGCCTTGGCACTTCGAATCCCGTCACAAATTGCCAATTGGTATAAGGAATTGGGATCATCAGGCAAGGGGCTGTGTGCAAAAACACTACCCCGGCCGCTCGTCGATCGAATGTTTGCTGAATTCTGGATGACGCGTTTTTCGCAATGACACGAACCTCGAGTCGTGTCATAAAAGAACCACTTTACGCGCTCACTGCTTCGAGTTTTCCGTTGTTCTGCCAGCCACCCTATTTGTTACTGTTGTTTGGCGTTGGTGGGGCGACGCGAATCCCTGCAAATACTCTTTTGGTGACTACTATGTAGGTAACGGTGTCCTTCCCACGCCCCAACAGGGATAGTCCGATCGCCGAGAGTGTCGCCGGAATGACTGAATTGCGCAGCAAAACGTATTAAAGTAAAAAGGTAAATCACCGAAGGAGTGAGTTTATGTTTGTTTGTCCTAAAAAAATCTGACAGTACCTGGCGCAGAATGAATGATTCAGTTTGATTGGCTTGAAGATGGTACATACCCCACTTCCCTTTAAGCTTTCAGAAAGCGAATCAGAGAAAAATCAGCTATGAGTCGTATGTCGCAAGGGTCAGAAAAGGTAAGTAATATGCACTTTCGTACCAGCTGCTGACTACGTACTGAATGCAACCCACTTTGTTTGATCGTTGACATTCGCATCTTCGATGATTTCTGTTTCGACAAACTTCGAGGGTAGCATGGTGTTCTGCGTCGCATGTGGTAGGCAACATCCTCAGGCATGGTTGTTGTTGTCGTTTGTGATGTGATCTGAGTGCTGACCAAGGAATACCAAGTACGTAGTTGGCGAGACCACGTAGTCCGACAGATATGAGTAACACCCTGAAATTTTGAAGGGTGATACCCCGCAGTCACAAGCGATATTGGAAGTACTTCTGAATTCGAACCGTGGCAATTAGAGTATTTCTTGTTGCTAAACTGGTATTTTGCGCGGGTTCTGGATATCGTACCCCTTGTTGATATTTCGAACGAAATCGGGCTTGAGTTTGGACAGGAAATTGCTGGTGAATGAGGCTCTAACAGAGCGAATGATGCATGTAACAAGGGCAGCGTTAACATGGACAGAATTTTGGACATTTGATTTTAAAAGGAGTGTTCAAACGATATATACCGCTGGCTTTTTCCTAGCTTGCTTGATGAGTTGCGGGTATGACTCTATGATGTCTTACGTGCAAGCAACGATGTTGCATATTCAAATACATAAGCAGGGATCCAGGTGGATGACATGCAGGGCGAAGCCTCAGGATCCAAGCCAAATCCGTTAATGTGCTGCTGTCCGCTGTCTTCCTGGCGCAATTTGGCGCGGGCACAGCCCACGCCCTGTAATTCTGCTGGACTTCCGCGAATACTAGCACGAGACTAGTTTCGCATTGGATGAAACGGCTGTTCTAGTCAATCTCCGTGAAATAGCGAGGCAGCGCGGCCATTATCGGGCAAGGCTCTGCCTGTTGCTACATGTATAGCCTTCACGGACGCCGCAGCATCACTGTGCAGCCCCATTGTATCAACACAGGAGAGGAGGAAAATCCAATAATGACACGTTGATTCCACAATATTGGCTGGTATATTATCTTCCACTCTCTGGGCTTCAATCCTCCGTGCCAGGGTGCAAACTTGGAAACTTGGGGACATCACACGCCCTCTTACGAGGCTGCTGTGGCCATGACATAGGCTTGTTTCTCATCCCCACATGTACCATGCTGCTATGTCGATGTGGATGAGCACGCCAAACTCATAGGTGCAGGGGGCTTGGACCGATCTCCGTGATGGGGCAACCATGGCAGGGTTGCCTGTGTGCAGCTGCGGAGCAGTGCAGTACCGAGCTCCTGGTTGCGGCAGCCTGCTGCATGGCGCTGCATGGGTCACGGTGGTTTGTTAGCTACTAGTACCTACCGGTACTAACGGCTAGAAAGGTGGACGGTCATAGAACGGGGGAGGGAAGGAGGGCGGAAGGGGGGGGGGGGGGGGGAGGAAGAGTCATAGGCTCGAGCTTGACTGACTGCATCGCTCCCAATGCACTCCGGCTCAGTCATCCATCTCACTGGCTCGCACCACTTGCGATTGAGCACTAGCCCACACGTGCTCAGTCCGCCGCAGCACTGGCAGCTCGAATCTAGGTATATAACTCCAGTGTCTGGCCTGAGAGGCTTCTCGTTTCGAACTCAAACTCAACAGCATCATTCTGACCAGCAATTATCTAAATAAGTCGAACAAACTGCACCAAAATCTCCGCAGCTTAACTTCTACTCTCGATAACCCTTCGCACTCACATATCCCGTCATACACTCTTGCCCATCTATCCGTGCCCCTCTATCTCTGCTCTGCCTGCTATCCTAGCTAGACTGCTTATCACTACTCGATAACAACTCATATTTGCCACCTTCCTAAGAAACCACATTTAAAATGCCGGACGCATCTACTCCACCACCGAGGCCTACCCCTCCAAGGTTGCCAACTCCGGATTTGCCAGATGCACCAGCTGGAATGTTCGCATCCTATGTATGAACCAGCCTGGCTTCTCAGAAACCCCAGAAGAAACAAACTGACCCTTTTCCGATCAATAGTACAAGTGAAGAGGCATACAAGAACACGTGTTTTACAAGAGGCATTTTTCTTTGTTTTAATACAACACCGGAACACCCATATACCGATAAATCGACACCGAAAGAGCAACGCGGGTACGATGTTATAGCAACCTGATGTGGGAACTGCCATACTAATCGTACATCTCTACTCATCGACCGGTATAAGGCTTAATCGACCGTTGTGAGCCTTCCTATTATCACTCCATGACAGAACAATTTTCTGTTTCCTAAAGACGGAGCCTGCTTTGATCACGGGAACCTTTGGGGCATGAAGATAAGGCACTGGGAAGGGGAGAGTCGCTGGGGGGCAAATGCAGGGCTCTCCCTCTTATCTTGTCTATTGAACCGTCGGGAGGCGCCGACCCTTAGGCTCGAAAAAACGGACAACGAACGCATCGACAGCAAGACAGTAGTCTTTTTGAGATTTCTTGTTTTTCAGTTTTTCATTTCTTTTTTGGAACTGCGAACGACCAGCGACGCCAGATTCCACGACGGGATGTTGAGACTTTTCCGACTCGAGATGGCGATGTGAATGCTGGTGTTGGCAGATGCGATGAGATTGAAGATGGGGGTGGGATGAGGTGGGGGAATTGTTGTTCCGCGCAATTTCAGTGATGAAATTGGTTGGCATTGCTGCGGGTTGTCGCCCAGGTCACATCCAAGCCTCCGGTCTGGGCTAGTTTTGGCGAGCCAGAGGACCCTGACTGGTGCGCCTTGGGTTTAGTTTGGTTGCCTTGAGTTTGGGAATGCCCCTGCGTCTGTGATGGCCAGTCATCTGTAATGACTAATTTCACTAGCTCTCATTTATTTCCCTTCTATTTTTTATTGGTTTTCTTTACTCTCCTTGTAACGTGTTAACCTTGAGGGGGGGTAGTTTATTAATAAACTACAATACAGTTCTAAAAGCTATCATGGCAAGTCCGCAACGCGGAAGGCAGCGCGGGCTTCAAATGACACCTTTTTTTGTGCTTAAGTTTCTATTTTTGCGTTTGACTTTCTTTTCACCTTTGTATACTGCATATTTCCAAAGTCATTTCCTAGTTTGGGCTCTCTTTTCATCGGATCGGGCTTTGGTTCGGGCTTTGGCTCCCTTTTTACTCTTTGTGTTCGGATTCCAAAAAA